TTCAACTCTCTCTCTCTCATTTTTTGTTAACATCACATATCTGTCTCTGTCTCTCTGTCGCGACTACGCCAGCCATCGCGGTCGCATTGCGTCGGGCCGTGTAGCAAAAGGGGGGCGTGAGGCGGGGCCTGTGGTGGGTTAGGGTGTGTGTGCCGGTATGGAGCCGTTTTCAGAGCTGGTGGTGGCGTTGTTTGTGCTGCTGGTGGGCGTGACGGTGGCGCTGCAGTATCGCTTCAACCCGTTTACTGCCGTCACTCGCAATGAAGACTTTTCAGCCTTTCAGCGCCGGTACCTGACCGTCTACCTGCTGGCAAACATGGCCGACTGGATCACGGGGCCTTACCTCTTTCGATTGTATGAGAGCTATGGTTATGAACACGACCAAATCGCCGCGCTCTTCATCTGCGGCTACGTCAGCTCCCTGGCCTTTGGTCCCATGCTGGGCGGCGTCGCAGACCGCTACGGCCGGAAACGGTACGGACCTTGCTGGGCTAGCTGGGGCGCCGTCATGGGCCTCGCACCAGCGCCCGCACGAATCAGAGCAAGCCCGTCGCCACTGTCAGCCTCACGCCGATGGTGCCGTTTCCGATAGAATGTGTGTCGTCTTTTGTTACATCTTCTCCCTCTCCTGCCTGCTCAAGGTCTTTTCCAACTTTTACCTCCTTCTGCTGGGTCGCATGTTGGGCGGGGCCTCAACCTCCTTGCTCCTCTCCACCTTTGAGAGTTGGATGATTGCCCAGCACAACAAGGAGGTAGGGCCGTGCATCTCGGGCCGTGCATCTCCCTCGTTTATCCACATTCACAACGTTTACGCTCGCCATTTCCAAAGCCTTGATCTCTTGCTTGCTTGCTCATGATCCCGCCCATCTCGGCTCATTTCACCAAGGGTTTCCCCTCCGAGTGGCTGCCCCGCACCTTTGCGCTGGCAACTTTCGGGAATGGTGTCGTGGCTTGCCTTTCTGGCATTGCTGCCAATGTTGTGGCAGATTGCTGCGGTCACCATCCCGTCCGCCCTTTCTTCCTTGCTATTGTGTGCCTGCTCGTCGCTGCGGGCATGATCCATGCCAACTGGGAGGAACATCGTCCATCCGACCTTGTCCAACGCAAGGGTGGACAGTGTGCGCAGGGGTACGTTCTTCGAACCTGTCTCATCCCCGTTTAGCCCTTTGCAGCCCATCTTTGCCCCCTCGACATCCTGCTCTCACTCTTTAAAACATCTATCTGGCGCCCGTCTGATTGGCGTCATCCAGGCTGCGCGAGCTTTTATCCAACCGCCGAGTTTGGCTTCTGGGTATCGTGCAGGCCTGCTTTGAGAGCGCCATGTACGTCTTTGTGTTTCTCTACACACCCAGCTTGGACCAAGTACATCATCGCCACCCTCCGTTGGGATTCATCTTTGCCACCTTCATGTTGGCGTTGATGTGTGGCTCCACCTGCTTCCGGGCCCTCATTAACCGCGAGTGGGCTGTCTCAGCCATTCTCAAAAGCACCCTCCTCGTTGCCGCCGCCGCCCTTGTTGTGGGTGGCCTGACGTGGAATCGAAGCATCCTTCTCTTCGCCTTTATCGTCTTTGAGTTTGCCTGCGGTCTCTTTTACCCCAGTACGCCCCGTTTCTTCCTTCTCTACCTTCCTCCGCGTGTCCGATGTGTTCAAGCGACAGCTACTGTCCCAGTTTCTCATGGGCACGCCTTGTTGCACAGCCATAAGTACATTGCGTGGAGAAGTCATTCCAGAAGAACATCGGACAGGCATTATGAATTGGTATGTGGTGGCACTTGTGACCCAATCCGCCGCCAATCGTAGTCGTGACCCGTGCAGCGCCCTTGGCCCCCTTCAAGCCCCTGCTGGTGTGCCGCTCACCCTCACCCTTACCCTTCACAATCTCGCTTTCAGGTTTCGCGTGCCCCTCAACGGCTTGGTTGTTGTGTTTCTTCTCTTCGTGGGGAACGTGTCCCATCAAACCTTATTTGTTGGCTCCTCGATTCTCTGTTTGATCAGCTACACCGTACATCTTCAGCTCGAGAAGGTCTTGATGGAGGACGCCAAGGCAGCAGCGGCAGGCGACACTGCCTAGTCACAACTCTTGTCTGCAAAATTTTCCATGGCTGCCGTCCGAGTTGCAACACGGCCTCCCGAGATACCCGCGCGCTGGGCGCGCCCGTGACTGGCATTGTGAATTGATGCCCGTGTCCCAACCCCGCGTCCACCTGATCATGTCAAATGATGTACAATTGGCATTGGCTGAAGATGAGATGGGGTTATAATTCTTTTCCCGCGCGTGCGCAAGCATGCTTTAAATAATATGTACTGCAAAGAGCAAAAGTTGCACGCCAAGCGCTTGCCAACACCGCACGGCGGTCGGCCGGCATGCTGGTTTCTTCATTACAAACACAGTGATACCATGGTCACGCAAAACTTGACAAGGCGACAGACGCTCGACGCCTATTTTAAGTCAAGAAGACGGGCGTGAGCTGGCTGGATGGTCACCACGAGCAGTCAGACACGTGGCTGAGGGCAGCCGCTTCTCACCGTTGGATTTGACTAAAGTTAGCAGAATGCATGGCGGACCGCACGACACCATCCGGACCTCCAGCTAGGCCTGGACTCTCGTCGAGCCGCTGCCCAGGCAGCTGTCTTGCAAGGGCGTCCAAGGCCGTTGTCAAGTCCCAAAGCTGTGCGGCAACGTCGATGAGGCACATTCACACTCGCCAGCCAAACGACGCGACAAGCAGCAGGGGTCGTAGCCGTCTGTACCTGGACACTCGAATTTTCGTGGCCCGTGCAAAGAAAGCGGCGGGAGCGCGAGCCCACACGACTTGTCATGCCGCCCTCGTGCAAATGAATCAATCCGATGGATGAATGATCGACTGCCGAAATCTCACAGATACTATGGTGTTCAGGAAAGCGTTTGCAACACGCCATGAGCGTGGGCAAGTTCGGGTGTTTTCAACCCAATGTCAAAAACAAGCCGGGACCATTGACAAAAAGGGCCTGGCATACCGTTGGCCGGTGGCTGCATTGCGAACGAGCAACTCGGTACCCAAATCTGTTGTCTGCTGCACAAAGACTTGAACCTGATCCAAGTCACCCAAGGGCCCTGCACGCAGAAGCGTAAAAAGTTACGTGCATGTGCCCGCACAATGGCATGGGTTTGACAGCAAGGCAGGACGATGGGCATTTGCTGAGTTTTGTATCACGTACCAACAAACTGACGAGGGGCAGTCGTGGGAACGCTAAACGAAGCCACGCCTTGACTGCCCGGTTGGGTGGAGATGCGCCCACGAAAGCGCGTGATACGCCACGTCCGCACGTGATTGTCCTCTGCACACACTGTGACATGTGCCCAGTGAGAATGAACGGTGCTCTGAATCAGGTGCAGGGCAGGAGCCGATGGAGGCGGGGTTAGGGTGCTTACTAGAGATGAGGCAGCGCTCGCTGAGGGCCACGCAACGGATGGCGTGCTGGTGGACAGTAAAAGTCTGATATAGGAGTGGAGATTGCCCCACAGTCTCTGGGTGCTGTTGATTCGCAAAGAGCATAAAATTTCAAAAGAGGAAGGAACGGTGCACTGTTCCTGGCAAAACGAGAGCTGAGGCGTGGTCGCACCAACCTGCAGAATAACTCGTACTACACCAGTGCTGGTTCCGTAGGCCACCTCCATACACCGCTCGTGGGCGGCCGTGCTTTCATAAACGCTCATGGCTGTGATCGTCTCTCGGTGGGGGTCAACATAAAAAATACTAACGAGCAGGTCATCTATCATGCGGACCCAAGCACAGTGAGACCCACGGAGAAAACCGTTCCAAGAGCGGGCACGACGCGAGCGAGGATAGGCCAACGCACTATCTTTGAGGCGCAGGGGAAACTTCTCAAGATCCACAACATAAATGTAGCCCCCGGGCGCGCTGAGCAACAACGTTGTGCCGGACACGGCAAAGCATTCAATCTAAAAGAGGCTCTCGCGAGCGTATGCAGCCGCGAAGCACTCAGCAGAACGTCCAAGGGGGCAGGGGCTGGCATGCAACAGTGCCCCAAGGCGACGCTCACCTTGGCCACGTTTTGCACTTGCCAAACATGCGTTCGGGCGTTGCGCACGCCCACCTTGCCACTCTGAGCCAAAGCGACCAGATTTCTGCCACCAGAGAACAAAATTCAGGTGAGGGACCAGAGGCCGCGAACGGAAAATGCAGAGGCTTGGGGATCAAGGTATTGGGTGGGTGGCTCGATGTTCGACTGCTGTGAGTTGTTGATCAAGGGGACGCACCCATTGATGAAGAGGACGTGGTTGACGGCCACGCCCACGGACAGCTTGGCACAGGTGACGGGGAGCTCATCTTCGACCGGGGCGTCGGGACCGGGCGCTGCTTCCCGACCTGGCGGCGAATAGGGACGGGGAATGTCAGCGACAAGGCTTCGGTTTGGGAATTCGCACAGGTAGACGACGTCGCCGGCGCCGATGGCAATCTGGGTGTGTTCAGCCGTGATGGAGCGGCTGTTGATGGCCACGCAGCTGACATCCGATTCCAGTTGGTAGGTCACCGAAGCGAGATGGGACCAAGCCCCCGCTTCTGAGTAGGTCCAGCATTCGACGGCTCGCTGATATGCCAAAACGAGCAGGCTGCCCGCCGAGTCCATGGCGACGGGCGGACCGCAGGGTCCCTGCCGCGGCGAGATGCGAGCCTCGAAAAGGAGGCCCCCACATTGGCGCGGCGGCTCGAGCACGTTGAGCGCCGCGGCCATGCCGGTCAAGCCGAAAAAAAGGGCTTCCTCCCGCAGGGCCGAAACATTGTTGATGACAGTCGTACGCAATGAACCCGTGCGCAGATAGCTGAGGATGGCGGCAAAGGGTTCTGGGTCGCGATCGATAAAGTAGGCACCGGTGGCATCACGGGTTGACGGGAGCCGACCGGCCAGAAGGGCCGTGAAGAAGCTGTCCTCTCCCGTCGCCTGTAGCGTGGCAGCAGTCGTCAAGAACACGCGACCGCCCACGTTCAGGTGCACCAAGTCCTGAGCACGCTCCGTGTCACCTGCAACAGCGCTGGACTGCGCTTGTCCCTCCTGAACCGTCTGAAGCGTCGTCATGGCTCCGCATTTCAGCCCCAAATATTAAAAAAAAAATGGCGCAGAGCTGTAGGGCCTTGATTCGACAAGTGCAAGGACAAGCGCGACGACAAGCGCGAGCGGCGCTCACTGGGGCTGGTGCAGAGCCAGCCGATCGAGAACGATGCAACAGACGCGCCTGAACGATACAGAGTTGATGTATATGATAACAGAGATGTTGCAGTTTTATTGGTCATCTATAGCCAGATTTATGAAGAAATTTGATAAGTTTATGTAGAGATACCAAGTTGGTCTTGAAGCACTACTCCCAAAGTCAGCACCTCCATTCATGTTCGGCGTCCCTACCCGAACGTCACCAATATGCAAAATTACTCTCTAAACTTTATTGTTATGTTGATAGGAACATGCCGAGCACAGTTGCCTAACCCTAACCCACTGCCTGACTCATGAGGTGGGTTTCTGGGGGTGGGGGAGCTGTTGTTCTTTGGGTGCAGCTGGTTCATGCATGCGGTCCCGGCTTGTGGGATTTCGGCAGCGGCATCGGGAAGAAAATGCGAGTCGCACTGCTCTCACCGAAACGGCAGCGGGTTGCACTGCTCTCACCGAAACGGCAGCGGCATTGGGAACAAAATGCGAGTCACATTGGTGGCTGTGCGCGATACTGTGTGTCATGGGACGTGAGTGAGACCATCACGCGAACATGGTGGTGTTCATTCATTTGGGGTGGGTTTTCTTTTCGTTTCGCATAAATATGGAGTGGGGAAAAACAAACAAAAGAACAAAGACAATGGAGAAGACGGAAATGTCAGATAAACCCCACAGGCCCAAGAGCTGCAAGCAGCCACGGAGGATGGCTCGTAAGGCTCGCCGCAAAGACTCCAACAAGGGGTACGATCGCCACCACGCTTATCAAGGACAAGAACATGCCAAAACGGCAAAGGGCAGCAATGGATTCTCGGTTGGCTGCGCTAAAGGTCGTTGACGAGTGTTCAAGGCCTCTCTTTCTTGTCGCGTGTGAGTTTGCGTTTTTGTTCTCGCGCTCGTGGCACACTGGCACGGCAATCGAATTCTTGTTTTCAGACTCTAACCACCGATTCAATGCATGGCGGGACGTGTTCCGATCACGCGAACCTGTTGACTGGGACGTGATTTGTGTGTGTGAGGGATGGATTTGTGCGGTGGTTGGTGGTTGTGGTGTTCATCTTCTTGTTTTTGGGTGGTTTTCGTTTCGTTTGCATAAACACACGCCAATATGGAGTGGGGAAAAACAAAAGAACAAAGACAATGGAGAAGACGGAAATGTCAGATAAACCCCACAGGCCCAAGAGCTGCAAGCAGCCACGGAGGATGGCTCGTAAGGCTCGCCGCAAAGACTCCAACAAGGGGTACGATCGCCACCACGCTTATCAAGGACAAGAACCTGCCAAAACGGCAAAGGGCAGCAAG